GCCTCCGAGTAAGAAGAGAAGTCTTGACTAACCTGGAGCCTGGTTGTTGACCCAAAATTGCCAACCAATTCATCAGGGTTGCATAAACACAGCACACAAGCATCCATGTAACTAAGACTAGCCTGTTGATTAAATAATCTATTTACATAAACAAAATTGTTAACACATTTGCTCTCCCTCTTGCATCACTTCTACTCGCTTACAATCATGTATGACAAGCATAAATCAGTCAACCAAGTCTTGGAATGCCTCATTAAGATTGCAATGTGAGGTGTAAGAAGCAAGTAGTATCTCCGCCTGCCACCTTTTTTAATCTTCTGTTTTTAGGGATCGTTTGTGAATCATGGTGTTTGGCTCTGATAAGGTCCATCACATGACGGACGAAAGGTCAGTACGACGGTGAGCCAAATTCTGCTTTGCACAATTCGACAGACAAAAGTCCAAGGTAACCCTCCGGTGAAGCCAATTTACGATTCCCTTTCACCCGCCTTCTCAAACGAAATGAAAGGTATGCCAATATCACTCTGCTAAGGGATTCTTCAAAACCAATCTTTTCTTCGTATGGTCTACATTTTCCTTTTGACATGGACTCGATCAACAGCCCCATTGAAAATTTCCTTAATCTCCAACGTTCCGCAGATCGGATCAGACAATACACCATTGCGATCAATCTACCTTACAGCCATGTCTGCCTCGGACTAATTTTGATGTGAGTAGTTTTTGAGTCTATCAACAATTCTTGAATAATATCTTACTCAGCCTCGGTGGCTTACGGTATTTTAATAATTGATAGTTGAGTTTTTCCGAAATGAGTATCGACTTTGCCTCATCGCCTTATCAACATCCGTAATGGGATTCGTTATCGAGTCGGGAATATCGTTTTTAGAGGCGAGGTTAGGCGAAATTTAATGGTATCGTAAGGCTTACATATTTCACTGTAGGAGATCGCACATATCAGTCGCTAAATCACCCTAAGCGACCTAGTCTTTTTCAAGAAATACTGCTAGCCTAGAACACTACTCATACGGAAAATGAGTAGCGTTGTCGAATGTCATGTCACGCATATGCTTGCTTTAATGGCTTTCACACCATCAAAATGTGACCTGGTGGCACCCATTAGTCTATAGTGCAGTCGTAATAACACTGTTCAGGTGAGGTCTAGTCTGTAGCTAGCCTGGTTGAGATTGCCTTTTGGAGAGACATGGTTGATTGAAATTTCATGAATATTAGATGTATTTGTCCTATTTTGCTTAAGGTAATAAGTTTATTAGGGGGACCTTCATTTCGAATGAAAGGACACGAAGAAGAGATTCGTTTTTCGATCTCACTAGATGAGGACGGATGAAAATCGTGGTAT